TCGTAATACCATCCTCTTAGGGGGTTAACATTTCAACAGAGCCATCCCGGGGGGACCCACCCTCAGACCACCACAGTCATAACGCGGCAAGCCAGGGCTGGTGTTTGGCCCACCACTTGGATGCCTGCGCCCCGTCAGAATGCCAAGGTTCGGGCCCCAGCTCAGCTCCTGACTCCAACTCACAAGCTGGGAAGCACAGTGCTGGCCCGAGTGCTTGGTCCCTGCCACCCTCGTGGGAGACGGATTTAGTGGCCTGGGCCATCCCAGGCTGTTACAGGCATTTGAGAAGTGAACCAGTGGATGCAAGAGGTCTTTCTGTCTCTGCCTGCCTTGCATATAAAAAAAAAAAAAGTTTCACTTTCCTGATTACTCTCATTCTTAAAAAAAAAAAATTAGAAATGATAAAACTGCAGATTGTATTGAGAACAGGGACAGCATCCCCACTGCAATGTGTCTGCCCGCTGGGACAAGCAACGCTGGCTTCGGATTGGGCAGCATGGACTGCTGGGGACACAGGTCCCTGCGCAGCCACCTGCTACTGGCAGTGGCCCCCGTCGCGTGGTCATCCCCCATGCTGTCCGTTGCCAACCTTGCCCCGGTGTATTCTCGGAGCTCTGGAGCGAGTGCCCCCACCTAGGGTCTTCCAGCACTGCGTGAGGGGGACGTCTCCCCAGGGTCCTCCCCCACGGACGAAGAAAGCTCCCCCTGCCCACAGCTCTGACCCCGCAGGTTTTCTTTTGCAAACAGAAACACTTAGTTCCATCCCTGGGCCACCTCTCCCAGCCTCTTCTTGCCTCTGTCGTAGCTCCATTCGCTGCCTGGTCATCTCTGTGTCACAGGCCCTGGACGTTGTGGAGGTCACACTGGGCAGGGTGGGGACAGGGTCATTGCTGTCCATGCTCAGGTAGGCACCGGCCAGAGTATCCCCCTGCTCCCCCGGACCCTGACCCACACCCGTGCAGGCCAAAGGGGCCTCCACGTGGTCCAGTCCCAGAGAAGAGAGGGTGGCTCCCAGGCAGCCGCATCCCATCCCCAGGCGCAGCCAGACCGGGAGCCTTGCTGGCATGGCCAGCCTCCATGGTGCAGAATTTCCCGGGACTTCCTTCCCGGTCCTGCTGCTCAGTCTCAGAGAAAGAAAAGCCGTCCCTGGCAGCTGCAGGCTCCCCCTCCTCTTCCCCTCTTCGGAGACGTGGAGTAGAAGCGAGTCAGCTCTCTGAAGTCTTTGCATTTCGCCAGGATTTTGTGAATGACGGCCACAACCATGCCGCCGTGTGTGCACGTGGGTCCTCGTCTGATAGACAGCTCACCCGATAAAGCACGTTGATAGCAAGCCAGCATCCCTTGAAGAGCCTGGCACGGTTGGGAGCAGCCCCTCAGTGTCGCTGCAGGAGGGGCTCCCATATTTACAGCTCGCGCTGGCTCACTGGGTCATCTGCCGATTCCATCTGCGGGCACCGAGTCTGCGGGCTTCGGGTGGGACCTGTCCCAGGGCCTCGTCTTTGGGGTGGGAACCTGGAGCCGTAGCCATGCCAGCACCCCTCAACATCAGGTGCAGCCAAGTGTCCCCGGGCCTGGTGGACCCCAAAAGACACAGAGGGGGCCTGGCCCACCTGCCCCCAATCCCAAGTGTTGGTTTTTGTTAGTGATAAATTTTATTTTATTTGAAAGAGTTACATAAAGAGGGAGATACAGAGAAAGATCTTCCATCTGCTGGTTCACTCCCCAAATGGCCTCAACAGCCGGGGCTGGGCCAGGCCAAAGCCAGGAGCCTAGAGTTCCATCCGGGTCTCCCATGTGGGCACAGGGACCCAGGAACTTCGTCCGCCCTCTGCTGCTTTCCCAGGTGCACTATAGCAGGGAGCTGGATGGGAAGTGGAGCAGCCGGGACTCTAACCCGCACCCTTATGGGATGCCAGCATTGCAGACAGAGGCCTAACCTACTGTGCCACAGCGCCAGCCCCCTGACCCCTCGTCTTGTAGTCAGTCATTCCCTCACTGGCCGGGTCGCTGGGCCGGGGGGCCCACACACAAGCTGGTCCCCAGGGAGGCAGAAGGCCACCTACAAAAGAGGTTTTGTTTTAAGCAAGAAAATGTTTACCACGCGCCTCCGGAGGCGCCTTCCCTGGTCACTTTGGGGGACCGGTCAGTGCCTCCTCCGCCTGGTTGCTGCTCTCGTCCTCCCTCACTTGTGCACTTGATCTATTTAAAGGTATCTCAGCACAAGGACCAAATGAGCAGCAGCCCCTCCCCCCTGCCGACGGCTGGCCGCACCAATAACTCATTTCTTAGCTCATTAGCTAACAGAGGCCGCGAGCGGTGGCCCTCCGGGGGATCGGAGCGAGGCGAGGTGATCTACGGCCGCTCGGCTGCTCTTGAACTGGCCTTCCTGGGGGAGGGCGAAAGGCTCGGCCGAGACAGGCCAGGGACCCCAGAAGGGAAGCCGGGACGTGGCGGTGACTGTTGGCCCGCTTGCACCTTGGCCGCCTGGCTCCACAGGGCGGTGGTTTAGACAGACGCGTCCTTATGGGAAGGAAGCCGCCGTCAGGACCCCGTCCCTCGTGTGGTGTAGGATGGAGGACGTTCGGCACGGAGGAGAGCGCTCCTTGCCGTTCGTGCAGGGCTGCTGGCAGGGCTGGTTCCCGGGGAGGCCTCTCTCCGCTCACGCAGCCTTCCCGGGTGCACCTGCCCTGTGGACCCTCGTGACCTGGTTTACCCCGTGTCACCTCCTGACGATCCTGTGTCCAGCCAGAGTGTGACGTCAGAGGTTGGGACTTGGATACACAGAGCTGGGGTTAGGGAGGGTGCACAGTTCGGGCCATGCCTGCAGCCGGCTCAAGGCTGTGGGCAGCAGCCGACCGGCCAGGGCCCAGCAACCCGACAGGTGCTTGGTAATTCAGAGCAGGCCAGCGCCTCAGGGCCCCTGCACCCTCGGGTGCCTGGTCCCAGGGCCCCACCTCACCACCCTGGGCACACTGAGTCCCATGAAGAAGCCCTGGCACCCCATCCCAGCTGCCCCTGCCGCACACGCCGCCCTCGCTGGTGAGCCCTTGCTGCTCGCACCGGACTGTGAGAGACGTGCTCTCTGCAGGCCACGGCCTCCAGCCCCTGCTAGCCGAGCGTTCGATGCTCGTTCAATGGCCCAAGTGCTTGGGCCCCTGCACCCAGGTGGGAGACCAGGAAGAAGCTCCAGGCTCTTGGCTTCAGCCGCCTCCACCCTGGCCACTGTGGCTATTTAGGAGGTGAACCAGCTGATGGAAACTTGCTCTCGCTCTCTCTCTCTCTCTTCCCTTCTGTGTGTAACTCTTTCAAATAAATAAAGAAAACTGCGGCATAGCACTGAAGCCCAGAGTCCCTGTGCTGAGTCCCTTGGCGTATCCCTGGGTGATTGCAGTGACTGGTAACATCAGAAGCTGTGATGTTTGATGCCTTACAAAGCAGGAGAGGGAGCAAATGGAGCCGCTTGGCCACGGGCCCCTCGCACTCAGTTCACATTTCGCTTCCTTGTCTTGCGCGATTCCTGGAACGCACCCACAGATGCCAAACTGTATATTAAATATGGTTCTAAGAGAACATCGACATCACTAGGGATCGCCGGTCTTTGTCCTCAAACCCTGTTTCCCCGGGTGCTGTCAGCGCTTCTGCCCCAGCGGGGACGTGCGTGAGGGCGCCTCGCGCCATCTGGGGGTGCCCGCGGGCTCTCGGCCGCCACAAGTGTTTGTCCTGGAAACCTCCTGATGAAAGGAATCAGGGGTCACGCTGGGGTCGCCCGCATGTACCAGGAAGTGAAGCAAAACTAATCCAGATTTACCCCTGGAAGCATCTGTTTGCCTAAGTATTTAAGAACAGATTAGGGCTAACCCGACACTAGATCACCGTGCGCAGTGTAAACACGGGCCAGGGTGTCAACAAAGCCTTTCTCCTGTCCTGGGAAGCAGGCTGTCATGGGTAATGAGTTTTCTTTGCAGGCTGCGGCAGGAGCCCCGAGCCCCGAGCAGCCGCCCTGTGTGGCTGGAACTTTGTGCCCGGTTACTGGCCTGGTGGGGACCCTGGGCTCAGGAGAGGGCGACGGTGAATCCACGCGCGACGTGGCCAACCCGAGACCCTCCTCATCCTCATCCAAAGTGCACCGCCCGGCTGCACGCATGCCGTTCCGAGAGCCACCTGTCGGCTCGCACGTGGCGGCGTCAGAATCTCCTGTTTGATTGTCTGTCTCCCCTTTTTGTCCTCTCGGGCGGCGCTGCGCGGGCTGGAGGGTTTCCGGGCCTTGGAGCTCTCGTCCGTCGTTTCTGAGAAAACAAAACCCAGGTCTGCCCCGAGTTGCCTCGGATCTCGGGATCAGCCTGCCGGGTCCTGGCCTTGTGGCGTGACGGACGCACCGCTGGGGTCGCTTGCTTTGTCCCTGTCCCTGTCCCTGGAGCTTCTCCCGCTTCCTGTCCCCTCCTCTCTTCTCTCGGCATCCTTACAGGTGTGTCAGACACCTGAGACCGCAGGATCCCTCTGGAGCCTTCGGAGTGGGGGAGGGGGAGGGGCGACAACACGGCACCAGAGGGGAGGTGGCGGAACGTGGCGGGGGGAGGGGACCGGAGCCGCCATTGTCCACCTCCGGCCCCTCCCCGGCGGCACCCTGTCCTCTGAGCCCCTGGCTTGCCTTTGGCCTCTGCCACGTAAGGAGCTGGTGACATCGTCCACCTGCACCTGAGCCTGCCCCAGGCCCCGAGGACACTGCTGCGGAGCCCACCTCGAGCCCCCTCGTACAGCTCCCGCCGGAGCCGGAGACCCGCCCTGCAGGGCAGTGTTCTCAGCTGGAGGCGTTGGGAGACCCTGGGGAGTCACACTGTCCCTCAACCCCACAGGCGCGTTCTGAGTTAACAGCAGGTACCCCCCCCAGGTGGGGGCAGCACACCACTGCCTGCCCTTCCCCTCTGTGGCTCCCAGCTGCACCGGCCGATGCCCCGCCCCCGTGCCCGACTGTGACCGCACCTGTCTGGTGGCTCTTGCAGGGAGGAAAAGGAACGGTGGATCCGGGCCAAGTATGAGCAGAAGCTGTTCCTGGCCCCGCTGCCCTGCTCCGAGCTGTCCCTGGGCCAGCATCTGCTGCGGGCCACCGCCGACGAGGACCTGCGGACGGTCATCCTGCTGCTGGCGCACGGCTCCCGGGACGAGGTGAACGAGACCTGCGGGGAGGGAGACGGCCGCACGGCGCTGCACCTGGCCTGCCGCAAGGGGAGCGTGGTCCTGGCGCAGCTCCTGATCTGGGTAGGTCCGGCCCGCGCCCGGCAGGGCCACCGAGGGTGGGGGGTGGCTCCTAACAGGGAGTGGGGCTCGGAGGCCGCTGCCTCGTGGGCTCACCTGTGTGAGGGCTGAGAACCAGGGCCCCGAGCCCCGGGCTGCTGAAGGGAGAAGTGAAGCCACCAGGCTGGCCTGTCCTGACACAGGAACAGTGCCCACGCTGTACGGCGGTCGCAACTTGGTGAAAGTCCACCTTGTCGCCGGGTACGGTCAGCGTGGCTGACTTCTTCATCCGGGAACCAGCCAAATGGGTGCAGCTTCCCCATCGCCAAACCTTTGGTGTCTTCACTCACTCGTCACAACAGAACCAGCCCCCAAACCTGGAGATGTGGTGTTGGTGGAGTTTGTCCGAGGGACCCCCACCCACCCAGGGCGAATTCCCACCCAGACAGGGACCGTCCACACAGGAGCACCTGTCGGGAAGCTGGAGTGGGTGGAGGGGGAGGTGTGTGCTCAGCACCAGCGGGCACCGTGCCCGGAGTGGGCGCCCCGATGAAGACTGGCGCCAGGTACCCAGCCCAGCTGTCCCTCACTAGGGAGACACGGGAGTCTTTTTATTATTTTTTAAGGTTTATTTTATTTATTTGACAGGCAGAGTTAGAAAGGGAGAGAGAGCGAGCGAGAGAATCTTCCATCTGCTGGTTCACTTTCCAAAATGGCTGCGACAGCCAAGCCTGGGCCAGGTCAAAGCCAGGAGCCTGGAACTGCATCTGGGTCTCCCACCTGGGTGTCGGGTCCAAGTTCTCCGGGCCGTCTTCTGCTGCCTTCCCAGGCGCTTTAGCAGGGGGTTGGATCAGAAGTGGCCACGCGGGACCCAGCGTGACGGGCGGCGGCTTCACCCGCTGTGCCACGATGCTGGCCCTAGACAGCTGATTTACTGCCAAACCCGTAACACTTGTGCCTGCTTTGCTGCGGCTGCCGTGCCCAAACACCAGGGACCAGGGCTTCCTCGGCAGAGGGTCAGGAAGGTTCCGTCCCGAGTCCTGGTGGCTGGGAACGCCCGTGCCAGGTGCCAGCAGCACTGGGTTCTCCTGAGGCCCCTGTCCTGGGCTTGCAGGGGCACCTTCTCACTGCCTCTCCTGGCCTTCCCTCCAGACACCCGTCACCCTGGCCTGGGACCCTCCCCCACAGACACACCTGACCCCACCCCACAGATGCACCTGACCCCACCCCACAGACACAGCTCACTCCCCACAAACCCACCTGACCCCGCCCCCACACACACCCCCACAGACGCACCTCCCCCCACTCCCACAAACACCTGACCCCACCTCCACAAACCCACCTGACCCCACCCCCACAGACCCACCTGACCCCACCCCCACAGACGCACCTCCCCCCACCCCCACAAAAACACCCCACCCCACACCCACAGACATACCTGACCCCACCCCCACAAACCCACCTGACCCCACCCCCACAGATGCACCTCACCCCACCCCCACAAAAACACCCCACCCCACCCCCACATACACACCTGGCCCCACCCCCACAGACGCACCTGACCCCACCCCCCACAGACCCACCTGACCCCACCCCCACAGACCCACCTGACCCCACCCCCACAGACACACCTGACCCCACCCCCACAGATGCACCTCACCTCACCCCCACAGACATACCTGACTCCACCCCCACAGACGCACCTGACCCCACCCCACAAACACAGCTCACTCCCCACAAACACACCTGACCCCCCTCCACAAACACAGCTCACTCCACCACACAGACGCACCTCCCCCCACCCCCACAGACATGCCTGACCCCACCCCCACAAATCACCTGGCCCCACCCCCACACACACCTGACCCCACCCCCACAAAAACACCTTACCCCACCCCCACAGACACACCTGACCCCACCCCCAGACACACCTGACCCCACCCCCACAGACACACCTCCCCCCACCCCCACAGACGCACCTCACCCCGCCCCCACAGACACACCTCACCCCACCCCCACAGACACACCTCCCCCCACCCCCACAAACACACCTGACCCCACCCCCCAGACGCACCTCCCCCCACCCCCACAAACCCACCTGACCCCACCCCCACAGACGCACCTCCCCCCACCCCCACAAACACACCTGACCCCACCCCCACAGACGCACCTCCCCCACCCCCACAAACCCACCTGACCCCACCCCCCAGATGCACCTCCCCCCACCCCCACAGACGCACCTGACCCCACCCCCCAGACGCACCTCCCCCCACCCCCACAAACACTGCCTCTCGTCACCTCGCCAGCAGCCAGAGACCCTGGGTACCCCTGGGCAGCCTCGGAGCAGAGTGCGCAGCAGCCCAGGCCAGGAGCTGAATCGTGTCCGCGGGCGGCCCGCTCTGTGGCGACTGGGTGTCCCGCTTTGAGGGATCTTCTTGTATAAGATCACCAGTGCAGTGTTGGCAGGCACGAGATGCACACTTTATCTGTTACACGTTTGTGGACCAAACCCGTCTCCGGGGCCGGCACTGGGGCGCAGCGGGGTAAACCACGCCTGCAATGCCCGCATCCCACATATGGGTGCAGGTTCAAGTCCGGGCTGCTCCACTTCCCACCCAGCTCCCTGCTAATGCACCTGGGAAAGCAGCGGAGGGTGGCCCAGGTCCTTGGGCCCCTGCACCCACGTGGGAGACCTGGAAGAAGCTGCTGGCTTCAGCCTGGCCCAGCCCTGACTGTCATGGCCATTTGGGGAGTGAAGAGCAGGTGGAAGATCGTCTATCCGTGTCTCTCCCTCTCCGTGACTCTGCCTTTCAAATAAAGAAAATAAATCCTTAAAAGAAGACAGCCCTGTTGCTGAGGAGTGGGGTAGCGGGGTCTCATTAGGCGCAGGCTCCCTCTGCGGCTCTCCCGTGTTGCCCGGGTCTCTGCCACAAGGAGAACTGGTGCCACAGGAGCGATTTTGCCTTGAATGGCGGGGAAGCCACCCGCCCGCCACCTGCTCCTCCTTGCCTACAGGGCGAGGCTGGACGCAGCCCTGCTCCCCGCCCAGGGGTCCCGGCCAGCGGCCGCCCCAGGCCCGCCCCTCCTCCGGTCAGCTCCCCAGTTGCTTGGCTAACGTGGCCGTGTTGCCCCGCAGTACGGCGTGGACGTGATGGCCCGAGACGCGCACGGGAACACGGCGCTGGCCTACGCCCGGCAGGCCCCCAGCCAGGAGTGCGTGGACGTCCTGCTGCAGTACGGCTGCCCGGACGAGCGCTTCGTGCTCATGGCCACGCCCAACCTGTCCAGGAAGAGCAACCACCGCAGCAACAGTGGCGGGAGGGCGCCCGCCGTCATCTGAGCGGCGGCCTGAGTCCCGCCCGGCCCCGCCCTCCTCCCCGCTCCCGCAGTCTGCAGCCCGGACCCCTGCAGGGGCCCAGAGGGGACAGGAGGCTGCAGGAGCCGCTCCCTTCGTGGTCGACTCCCGCGAGCAGGCCGGAGCCACCGCCGGGCGTCCGGCGCCAGGGACGGGGGACGCAGGGGCGGGCAGGCGAGGAGCGAGAAGGGGCAGCTCCCCCTTCAATGGCAGTTAAGCACATCCGTACCTTTCACCTCGACCGCGCCAACACTTGGTTGGATCTCATCTCTTCTCCGAGCAGCTTGACGGCATAAATCAGTAGCAAGCACAGAGTTTGTCAGGTCTGAAGCCCCTATGATGGTATGTGTCAAATCAGTTGTAGCTAATCTGTCCAGGGAGAATACTGGCTTCATTACACTCGTAGAGTTGAGTTCTTCCAGCATTGCCGCTGTGTAATAGAACATGATTAGTCATCGCGGAGAAGAAAGCATATTAGCCGAGGCGGTAGCGGCGCGGCACGCTCCGGTGAGTGCCTCGATGTGATTGCAATACTCTTAGAAGCATCATATTATCCCAGACATGTGCTTCCCAGCCCTTGGAGCCCTCCTTTCTAAATCCACTGTCATAATTTAGTATCTGTTTAATTTTTCAGTCCAAAGAGAGGAAATCAGTCGCTGAGTGTATTTGACTACAGTCTCCTTGGTGCACAAGCAAAAATGGAAAGAAAAAAAAAAGATAAATAAATAAATAAATAAGCAAGCAACTCGGAAACCCACAAGGAAGTCCCGAATGCAGCTGCGAACAGCGGCTCCGGCGCATCTAGTAAACTCAGTAAATATAGAAAAGGCTATTTTTTTCCCCAAAAAGTAAGAGATATTTTCTGTCCTTTTACCAAGGTGGACGTGGTGGGCGTCGGTCCCCACGGGGCCGCGCTGCCCGAGCCCCACAGGTTTCTGTATTCTGTCTTTAGATGAGATGTGTCCAAATCGGTCTGAATAAAAACAGTTCATGAATATGCACCTCTGCTAATTTATAAACTGCAACTCGCTGAGCTGAGAGGGTCACAGATCATTGTTCACGGGGATGTTCCCAGCAGCCCACGCTGCCATTAACGCGGCCCCCGGCTTTTAAAAGCAGCCTATCTAAATACCGCTGTGGTGGTCCAGTTTGCTTATTAAAATCGAGGAGAGGGGGAAAAAAATCAAAGACATCGCAGTGTGGAAGCAGGGGGGCAGGAGAGGTTTGTGACTGACACCCAAGGCCGCTTTGCCAACTGAGCAGGGCAGGCCGGGGCGGCCGTGAGTGACAGATGAGGGTGCGTGCAGAGGCGGGGTGGCCCGGCCCTCGCCCGAGTTCTCGGCCGATTGACCATCCCCGTGGCGTCAGGCAGCCTCCGCACGGCCGTGCGATGGCACACATCCAGGAAAGCAAGGGGGCAGCTCTGCCTTAGACCCCCCCCCAGCTCGGGGGTGCGTGAGGGGCTTACATGCGGGGGACAAGGACGTGATGCGGCGCAGGACAGCGGGCCTCAGCCACCCAGCAGCCTCGGCACTGGGTTAAGTTCCTTGCGCTCATTTGGGAAACCTTATTTTCTGAGAGTTTTTTTTTCTCTTCTTTCACCACTGACAAATAAATAAATGGGAGGAGGGCTACAAAATAAAGCCCGGCAGACAACCCGCACTCGAGGGAGGAGGCCTTTCGTGGACGTTTCTGTGGCACACGCCCCGCGCCTGGGAGCCTGCGCCCGCCTCTCCGCCCCGCGCTGCGCCTGCGTGGTTAATTTCCCCGTGAACAGAGAGAAGACGGGCATTGCCCACGCCCAGGCCAGCTCTGACCCGCCTGCCCCGGCCCCGGCCCCGGCCCCGGCCTGAGCACAGAGAGCCGGGAAGTGGAATCCCTAAGTTATTTCGGTGGCCAGTAGCGGAATGCAGTGTCATAGTGGGCCTTCTTCCCCTGAGAGCAGACGAGGCCCTGGGAGGCTTGTCGTGGGCTGTACATGAGTGTGTACATATTGTATGTGTTTATAAGAGAATATTTTCCCTGAGGACTCCTGGTTTCCTGCGGCCCCGCCCCACCTGGTTGGCCTGCTGCAGGAGGCAGCCCCGCCCCGGGCACCCGACTGGGCAGCACAGAGAAAGGCGGTAGTGGGCGTCCAGGGCTCTCTGCTGCTCCGCGTGCGTCTCAGCATCAAACCGGAAACCGTGCTTTGCGGGCACTGCCCTCACTCCGCTCTCGGGCTCAGGAACACCGTGGCCGGGGAGGGGCCGGGACAGACAGCCAGCGCGGGGACGGGGCTGCAGTGGTGGGCTCACGGCCACGGTGAGGAAGACAGGAGAGGCCACCGCCCCCGCAGAATCCACAGCTCTGCTGAGCTGAGTCGCCTTGATGAGAAACACCTGCCGAGGAAGGCGGCCTGGATGCGCCCCCCCACACACACGCACCCACACGCACACGCACACATGGGCGTCCAGGCAGCACCACCGTGGCGCCTGCTGGTTCCTGGGCTGGATCCCTGCAAGGCCGAGAACACCCTGCAGGGGAAGGATACTGTCCCCGTGGTCCCGCACCCCGTCCTGGCCTCTGCCCCCTCCCCCTGCGCCGTGCCCGTCAGTCCAGGAGATGAGCATCTCAAGGGTGAGGTGATGACCAGGCCGCGAGTCTTTGGTCCCCAACGCAGGGGCGGAGTCACATCTCCCAGCCAGGTGAGGGCCGCCGGGCGCTCGCTGATCAGGGCGTAGCAAACACCGAAGGGAGAAGGCCCTCACTCAGCACTCCTGACGCTAATCCCCAAGCCCGCGTGTCCGGTGCCGGCCTCTCCTGGCAGGGCCGGGCACGGAGGGCCGCTCCTTCTGCCACGTTGCCTGGGAGGAGGAGCGGTGGGTCCATCCCCCGCCACCCAGGGTGGACACTGGTGTCCTGGTGCTCTGACACCGGCCCACGTGGGGGCGTTCCTGTGTGGGTGTGAGGGTGACCATCAGGGAGAGGGGTGACCCGAGGTCACCTGTAGGGTGCAGCCTGGGGCAGAAATCCAGCCTCTCAGACGTTTTGTCTTCGTCTGTGGATCTTGCAGGCTGCTGTGACATTCGGTGCTGGCCGCATGCCTGCATGGGGACCTGTGCCCCGCGAGCAGAAGCATTTACAAAGAGCAGAAATGGTGGTAGGCCGGCAGCCAGAGCACACACCTGGCTGCCTGCCCCAGCTGACAGGGCGCCCTCACGCCAGCAGCCCGGGGAGGCGGCGAGGAGGGTCATGTGAGCCAGCCCCTCCCGGGTGAGCCTGGGAGCAGTGACCGGGGAGCCCTCCACGTCTTCTGAGTTCGAGTTTGCTGTCCCAGGGGCACAGAAGGGGCTGCGTTTTGCCCTCTCTGTGCCATTTTTTGCTGGTCTGGCTCCAGGCCCGAGACAGCCAGCCTCCCTCTGGGCGCCTCCATCGGCACGGCGTTTGTTGGCTCGGCCTGGGACGCACGCGTGCCTTGGTCCTTTTCTCCCAGCCCTTCCTTTGCCTCCTTCCTTTGAAGATGGGCGCCTGCCGGAGGGCCCCCAGGGCCAGCCAGGTGTGGCCCTTTGCCGTCGCCGTCCCCACACCGAGCTTGGGCGAGTGGACAGCGGGCACCTGCCTTCCCTGTCAAGCCCCCCCACCCCAACGCCCACCCTGTCTGGTGTGTGAACTTGCTGAACTGCCTTTCCCCAGCCTGAGCACGAGGTGAGAATGAGGACTGCGTTCCTGGGGGGCAGGGGCAGGGGGGCAGGAGCCCCTGGGGACAGCGCAGAGCCTCCCAGGCTTCTCCGCGTTTGTCCGGCCGCTCTCGGTGGCCTGCAAGGTGGCAGGGACTTTTCCTAGAGCTCTCGTGGCCTGCGTTTATGGCTTTGGAGCGAACGGGTAGGAACGCGGCAGCAGGGGCTGCAGAGGAAGTGGGTGGAGACGGCGTCTTTCTCCCCGTGGCTGTGCAGGGGCTTTGGGATCCTGACTGCTTCCCCCCCACCCGGAAAGGCCCCTTCCTGGATCCTCAGGGGCTTCCTGCAGGACGCCCTGTGGTCCTGAGTCTTTCCAGGCTGGGCCGGGTGGGTGTGCACAGGTGCAGTGCCTGGGCCTGGCACGGGACCCCATCCTCCGGCCCTGCTGAGCTGTTCCCGGCTGTGCGTCTCGATGGGGACTTTCTCATCCGAGCAGCCGACTCAGGGTGTCCTTCACCACGAGGGAGGAGGAGAGCGACCCCCCCACACACACACACACATCGCCCACACTGCCAGGAAGTAGGCCAGCGGGCCTGAGAGAGGCGGAGCCCCCGTCCACAACCTCGTCTCCCTGGAACAACCTAGACATCCCTTTCCAAACAGATCTTGTCCCTCTTAGAGAAGCAGCACAAGTCTCAAACAGGCCAGAAGTTTCTAGAACGCCGCTGGATTCCCTGCGTGGCGCCCCTGCCTGCTGCTGCCTGAGTGCGGGCTCGCGTCCTGTGTCAGGGTTCAGAGGGCTTTATGTCGGGTGCAGGTTCCAGAGAGGGTGCTCTAACCCTGCCAGGTCTTTAAGATGCCCAAGTCTTAGAAGTGCGTCGTGAACCCGCGCCCCGAGGCGGCCACACGGCACGGGTAGGCAGTCGCGGAAGCCTTTCCCGACCCTCTCCCCCACCAAGGTGGCCCCAAGGCCTGGGGGTGGGCAGGAGCGGCCGGCAGAGGCCCACATGGTTCCATGGCACCCGGGCCAGCCACACCAGGACTCCCAGCATGTGCAGCCACGCGGCCTGCCCAGGACCGGACACCTTCCTGGGTGAGAGGGGTCAGCTCAGCGCCGGAGCTAAAGCCACAGACCAGAGCTTGCCTGTCCAGGTCCACTGAGGGCTGCTGTGGAATTCCGTGTGGGGGAAGGGCATGGTCTTTGCCTTGAGATGCAAGTGAAATACAGGGACCAGACAGGGACATCAGGGATCCTCCTGATGGGGCAAACCCCACAAGATACCAGCTCCTGGGAGGAGCTGCCCCCACCTCCGAGTGCACTTTGCCCCCTCCCCAGAGAGCTAATTTTATGGCTGGCTCGAGAATTCTTGGAAAGAAGGCATGGCACCCCACCCCCGCTGGGGACCCCCGTGGCCAGGGGCTAATGGGGCATCGGGAGCCTGTGGGGTCTGATGAAAGACATGCCAGGGAGAGATCTTGACCTGGGCGAGGATGCTGGCCCCCGCCCCCGGAGAGGCACAGCAAGGATGTCCTGCCCGGCTCCTCACAGTGTGCGGACAGAGACGGGACTGGGGGTGCCGGGGGGGGGGCCAGAACCGGTCCAGGGGCTGGGCTGTCGCTGCTCCCAGGGGCCCAGCAGGGGGCCCAGCAGGCTTCTCACCAGGACTCGGGTGGGGCTCGGCCCTTCCATGGTGGATTCACAAACCTTGCACTTAGAAACTGCTTCAGGGCACCAGGAGAAGGGAGAGGCCTGTAGCTTCCTGTTAGAAAGACTTGCGCCTACAGCACTGCTTTGCACGCGCCCACTGGGTGTGGGTGTGGGTGGGTGTGTGTGTGTGGGTGGGTGTGGGTGTGTGTGTGTGTGTGGGTGTGGGGGGTGTGTGTGGGTGTGTGTGTGGGTGGGTGTGTGGGGGTGTGTGTGTGGGTGTGGGGGGGTGTGGGTGTGGGTGTGGTGGGTGTGTGGGTGGGTGTTTCTGGGGGTGTGGGGGGGGTGTGGGGGGGTGGGTGTGGGGGGGTGGGTGTGTGTGTGTGTGGGTGTGTGTGTGGGTGGGTGTGGGGGTGTGTGTGTGTGTGGGGGGGGGTGTGTGTGTGGGTGTGGTGGGGGTGTGGGTGTGGATGGGTGTGGGTGGGTGTGTGGGTGTGGGTGTGTGGGTGTGGGTGTGTGTGTGGGTGGGTGTGGGTGTGTGTGTGTGTGGGTGTGGGGGGGTGTGTATGTGGGTGTGGTGGGGGTGTGGGTGGGTGTTTCTGGGGTGTGGGGGGGGTGTGGGGGTGTGGGTGTGGGGGGGTGGGTGTGTGTGGGGGTGTGTGGGTGTGTATGTGGGTGTGTGTGTGTGGGTGGG